ACAACACGCAGCCCACAAACCTCTGTCTAACCAAACCCCTGCCATCTCCTGCCCTTGGCTGACCCCCACCCCACCCTAGGCTGCTCAGTTAGAGAAGAAGTAATATCACACAGTGGGGATTGCTTCAGTCCCACGCTACCCTCCAGACATATCTGAGTTGTCAGTTCCCTCTCAGCAGACTGGGAATGCAGAAGTGGGATGGGTGAGCGTCTGGGGCAGAGCCCAGGCTCCCAGGCACCCACCCGATGGGACTGGGGAACAAATAACTTGTCAGGAGGTCAGGAGGGAGACCGAGGGGATTCCAGCTCCAAGGAATCCATGCATGGCCTTCGAGCGTGGGTGGCAGCTGGCAAGAATCCTTGGTTCAGAAATGGCAAGGCCCCCTCAGAAGTCAGGGCCAGGTCGTGCCAAAGCCCCAGTGGCATCGTGGTTCTGCTATTCTTGAACAGCTGTGCTGCTCCCCTTGGCACAGGGTTCAAGAATGGGGGCAGGAGTGTGGGCTTAGCCAAGGCAAGAGGAGGGCTCAGAGAATAGACATGCGTACACACACACACACACACACACACACACACACACACACACACACTCCACCATGAAGATGCAGATGCCTGGCTCAGGGAGAAAAGAGGGGAGGGAGAGGGTGGAATGCAAGTGTGTGTCTGTGTGTGTGTGTGTGTGTGTGTGTCAGAGGGGGAGATGGCTTTGTGGTTCTGTGAGTATGTGGTGTTTGGGTGTGCATAATGTCTCTGTGTTTATCTTTGTATGTGCACTGCTGTTTCAGTGTGTCTCTGAATGAGTTTGTTATCAGGGCGAGGGTAGGTCTTTGCACTACTTCTGTCTCTGACTCTGCTTGAGCCTCTCAGCAACTCAGCAAAGAGAATTTTCCCTTCTGGAAGGGTGGGAAAATATAGCTCATCAGGGCAGTATGGGCCATCGCTTTATAAACACACACAAATCACAGACATTCTTGTCTGTGATCCTTAGCTCCCAACAAAGCTAGGGTTGATACACATTTAAAATAGAGAGAGCTGAGTTCTGTGTGTATGCTTGTGCCATTCTATATGTCTGACTGTCTGATGAGCATGTGTGCTTATGGATTTGATATATTTGTCACTTTGTCCCCATGGCAGTATCTGTGTCTACAGCTTGGTATATAGTCATGTGTGCTAAGCTCATATTTAACTGTGTCCCTAGTGACATTTGTCTTTAAGCAGCAACATAACAGGAGTTAGAAGCACAGGCTCCACAGTGAGGCGATCCAAGTTTCGAATCCCTGTGTGGACAGTAACTAATCCATTAACCTTGGACAAGTTTCTTAACTTTTCTATGCCTCAGTTTTCTCACAGGGATAATAATAGCACATGAGGACAAATGAGATCACATTTAGTGCCTGACACAGGCCAGCATATGTGAATGGTCCTGTCTTTGAACGTGCTCCTCTCTGAGAGCTGTCTCCTTGGTTGTGACTGCAGTGTGTCACATATCAGCTGGATTATAAACTGCTTTTGGGCAGAGTGTGGGTCTCAATTATCTTTAACAATACTCATGACACCTCAGTGCTACCTTGGTGCCTTGTCATCTTGAGGTGAAATGAGTCCTGTTTCATGTGAAACAGGACCGGTGTCAGACGCAGGCCCATGCCTGGGGTGGTATATGGAGGGCAGGTGGGAAGCTGGTGATGGCAATGACAACACAGCCCAGCCGGGCATCAGAGTCCCTCACGGTCACCACTGCATGCCTGCCCAGGTCTCTCTGCAAACCCAGGCTCCCTCCTCTGTGTCTCAGTCTGGCCTGGAAACTCACTGAAGGGCTTCCTTCCTTCTTTCTCTGCTTACCCCACCCTAGGGCACCAGCCTAGGTGCTGGGAGGCCTGTGTGTGTTTTTAATGGATGAGATGAGTGCTCTCCAATCTACACCATGCATCCTTGTTTTTGCAGCTTGTATGTGTTTGCGCATGGCTCTGTGGGGGTGTGTTTCTAGAAGCCGTCTTTCTGTATGATCCCCACTCCATTACAGTGGGGACATGTGTCCGTGTGTGTGACGTGCCTCGTGCCTGGGGTTTGTTCTCCTCCCCCAGCTTTCCCAGTTACATAAGCAGCTGAGGGGTCTGTCAGGCTTGGGCTGTGGGCTCCCCCTGCTGGCCGCCGCTGGAACCCGGAGTCTGGGGAGGGGCCTGCTGAAGACACTGCTCTCTCCTTGGGCCTTACCCCCTTTGGAGGGAGACACCAACCCAGCTCTCAACGCCAGCCTGCCCCAGCTCCTTCCCCGTCCCAGGCCGCGGGGTAAGAGAGGATATCTCACCTCCCTGAAGACTTCTCTCATCATGCTTATACCGGGGGTTGGTTATGACTTGTTTATGAAATGTATCCCTAACATATAGAACTATGTTCCCTGAGGGCAGGGGAGCAGGCCTGCCTTGTTTACCATGGCATCTCCAGTACCCAGTACCAGGCCTGGCCCAATCAATATTTGTTGAATGACTGAGTTTACTGGGTGGAGAGGCTTGGGAGGAGGGACAGTGAGGTGTAGGAAGATTTGGGGCTTTGGGGATAGACAAACCTGGGCTCAAGTCACCCCTTAGCTACTTAAAAACTGTGTGGCCTTGGGCAAGATACTTAACCTGTCTAACCTCAAGTTTCTCTTCCATTAAATGACACTGCCTCGCAAAATATGCTATAAGGACTAGGACTAATATCCAAAAGGGCCTTCTTGTGTAAGCATTTCATAAATGACATCTGTCATTATTACAATTGGTAACGTCTTTCATCCCTCAAGCATCATGAAGGCATTAAATCCACTCGATAATTAAATCCATTATAAAGGGAGAGACGTGTTCTTCCAAAAGCTTCCCTATGAGTTTCAGTTTTCACATAGCTCAGTATGCCTGTGGATGGATTTAGATGATGAGGCTCTGGAGCAACCAGGCTGTGGATATTTCAAAGTGGGAATAAACAGGCACCCTACTACCCTGTTCATGGGCCAGTGCTGGCAGTCCTGGGAGGTGAGGGCTGGACCTCTGATCTCCCTTCAAGGCCCCAAACATTTGGCTTCAGTTTCTCTGGCTTCTCCAGGGTTCCTCGATGTGGCTTCTACTGGCAACCCCATGAGCGTCTTCTCAGAGTCAGGCACTCTGCCACGCTTGAGGAATACAATGTCAAGGAAGGTCTGGTCTGGCCTGTGCCACTTACCCTCTCTGGGCCTCAGTTTCCTCTTCTGTAAAGGGGGGGGTGAGTGAGTGGGAGGGAAGAGGGGAGAGGGAGGGTGTTGGAGGGTAGAGGGTGGTAAATGGGCTCTGGGATCACCTCCCACTGACAGCCACTCTGACAGCCTTGGCTTTGCAAACCTGGCCATCTCTTCTCCCCATTTTGGTCTCATCCTTCCTGCCCGTCCCCACTCCCCATCTTTACAGTTCAGGAAGAGACAGAACACCTGGGAAGGGTGCCTCCTCCATTCTCCCACCTCCAGGGCAAGCCCCACTCTTCCCAGAACAATGTTCATCTCTTCCCACTGTCACTGAACATAGAGACTCCTTCACCTAAACGCCAGGTCTAAACTAGGTCTAAATTAAGCCTCTTAGGAAGCAGTTCAAATAATAATTCAAAAACTAAAACAAAATAATCCTTCGTTATCTCCCATTTCGTGTTAGTTTCCTGTGCCAAACACTTTATGTACATTACCTATCATCACAATAACCCTTCGGTGGTGTGATCAACCTCAATTCAATTTGCAGAGGAGAAAACTGAAGTTGAAGGAGGTTAAACAACTGGGCTAGGATCACCCAACCCAGAAATGACGTCACATGGACGGCCGCCTCTCCTAATCCATTTTTCTTTTGGTTTTGCCCTCTGAGGGGGTGAAAAACAGGTCTCCAGTGACCTTGTGGATCCTGGAAGCGCCCTTCAGCTCAAACCCTTAGCATTCAGGAACTCCTGGGTTCTGCCAACCCCTACTTCAACAGGGTTTGTAGCGAGGACTATGGCTCAGAGAAAATAACTGAATTCTAAATGCGTGGCCACAGCCAATCCCAGGGCCCCTGCACCCAATTCTCCAGGAAAGGCTGGCAGGTGCGGGGTGGGGTGCGCTCTGTGCGAGGCTGGGTGGGAATTTCGATGCGCCGAGGTGCAATTAGCTCACTCATGCCGGGGCCTCGGGCGGAGCCAGGGCCAGGGCCAGGGGCGGGGCGAGGTCGGGGTCCATGACGGAGTCAGGTTTGGAGGCTGACGTTAGCCCTGGGGGGACTGGGAAGGGGTGGGGCTTGGGACCGGGGCGGGGCCGGGTCCCGGGGCGGAGCCAAGATTGTAGTCCTACTGTAGTCCTGGTGGGGCGGGGCGAGGGAGGGGCCGGAACTGGGGCTGGGCCGAGACCCGGGGCGGAGCCAGGGCTGGAGTCTTGCGGGACGGGGCGGGGCGGGACGGGGCGGGGAGGGGCGGGACCGAGGCGGGGCTGGGACTCAGTGCGAAGCAAAGGTGAGTTTCCAGGGGCAGGGCGGGGCCGGGCCAAGTGCGGAGCAAAGGACTGAGTCTGGCGGGGTGGGGCGGGCAGGGCCAGGGCTGGGTCCGGGGCGGGGCGGGCTTAGACGGGGCGGAGGAAGGGGCGGTGCCGGGGCGGGCCGGGGCTAGAATGGTCTCAGAACTGCCGAGGGCTGGAGGGAAAGCAACGGGAGGGGCGGAGGGAGGGGATTCGGCAGCTCCAGCTCAGCTCGCTCGGCGCACCCACGCCTCGCTGTCCAGCTTCCTGCCCCCCACCTGGGCATGCGCCCCCCACCCCACCGGCCCCCCAGAACCCGCGCTATCCCCCGGAGCCTCCCCAGACCTGGCCGCGCAGGATGGGCGCCCTCAGGCCCACGCTGCTGCCGCCGTCGCCGCCGCTGCTGCTGCTGCTGCTACTAATGCTAGGTAAGTCAGGCCCCCGTTCCGGTTCCCGGCCCCGCCGGGCAGGTGCCTGCCACCCAGCACCTCCCGAGCATTTCGGGGCTCCTCACATCCCCCTCGTCAGGGGTACCTCCAGCCTCCCCGGGGTCGGCGGCCAGCTGCGCTTTGTGGCTGCCCGCCAAGCCAGTCTTGGGAAGAGTGCAGGCTCCCCAGCTCTAAGCCAGGGAGTGGGGCACAGGGAGGACCCACTGAAGTGCTGCCCCAGGCACTGCTTGGCCTCCTGGGGCAGGCCCCACTTCTCAGCTAGCATACCCACGTCCTGGGGTCGCTGCACCAAATGCTGCGACTCGTTTCTGCCCCGCACTCAGCTCCAGGCCTGGCCTTGGGTGCCCGCCCTGCGTGGGCAGTGCCTGCCCAGCTTCATAATTGCCCTAGAGTTGGCTGGAGGCCCAGAGATCAGTTCTGCCCACGATCTTTGAAGTAAGTCTCTCCCAGTTGCGCTCCACACACTTCATCAACTGGGGGCAGTTCTCTCTCTCACCCCCATCTCCACCCCAGGTTGGGTCCCTCTTTGCCCTTCTTCCTCTCTCCCAAATGGCACTTGGCTCTGCAGCCACCCATCAGTTTTCACACCCGCTTAGTTCCAGCTTCCTTGCCTCAGGAGAAACCAGGTTCCATGGAGACTGATCCTGGGATCTCAAAGCACCTTGTGCCTGCTGTGGTGGGTGTTCATGGTGGGTTGTTCTGGGCTAATCTTGCATGGATGCATGGGGGTAATGACAGTGGAATTGTTTTTGGCCTGAACTGGAAGGCTGCCTGTAGGAGGTGGTCTGGGGAAGAGTATGGCGTGGAGAAGTGAAACTGCCAGTACAGATGTTGATGAGGCTGAAGCCCTTGAAATGAGAGTGAAGTGTGGAGGTGGGGATGATGACTTCAGAGCTGCTGTCGTCAAGGCAGAGGCTGAAGGTAGCCCCAGCTGCCTGTTTCTAGACCAGGGCTCCACAGTGGCACCAAGCAAAGCCTTCCCCTGCTGCAGGTCCCTGGGCCCTGCAGGGCTAGGATGAGTCCTCTCCTTGGTCCCTAGGCAGGTGGCAGGAGGATGTACAGAGAGGAAGGCTCTGTGGGACCTGGGTTGCCTAGCACTTGCTGTGTTTTCCCCAGTGGGCAGCATGGAGCAGGGAGGAGCCCAGGGAGGTGGGGAAGTGCTGGCCTGTGGTTGAAAAAGGAGCACGCAGACGTCTGAGCACCCACTGCCTGTGGGCACTTACATTCATTTCACAAGTGAGGAAATTGAAGTAACTTGCCCCAGAGAGCACATTTAGTGAGTATTAGGGCTAGGATTTGAACACAGATCTGATTCCAAAGCAGGCCTCTTTGCTCTCCCTTTCCTCGCTGCAACTAATACAGAGGAGGGGAGAGAGAGCTGTGTAGCAACTGATTTCCTAAGGCTGTGGAGGTAACTTTCCCATGGGGATCTCCAAGCATCAGCAGTTGTGGAGCCAGGAAGATGGGAGGGGGCCTTCTGAGCAGTCTGCCCCGAGGCAGTCAGGGAAGGTATCAGCTTGGCGGTCTCCACCATCACCCTGATTATGAAACTTGCCTGGCCTGGGGCAGGGCTCTCCTGAGTCACATACGCACTCATGCACTGTCAGAGCTGGAGCTCTTAGTTCTCCTCCAGTGTGGAAACCGAGGCCTAGGACAGAAAGAGACTGGATCCCAGGCCACACAGCTGGGCATGGGGATGGTACTGGAATCTCACTTCCTGATTGACAGCCTGTGCCCTTAACAACAGACCATGAGTTCTCCCTGTGACTCAGCCAGAGGATAAAGGAAGGGGCTAGGAGCCCAGCAGCAGGGGTGGGGAAGTTCAGAGGAGCCATTCTAGAGAAGCTGGAGGGTAGAGTTTGACCACAGACTCCTGGGCATTTTCCTCTAGCTTCTGCAGAAAGTCCATGGTATCCCCCTGGGAGGCCTAAAAGTGACACTCTGGTTGGTGAGGTCAGTCCCTTCAGGCCTGGCCTTGGAGTTTCCCCATTTTCCTCCCTGGTTTTGCCCCTCTGGAGGAGTGTGTGGAAGCCATCTAGGAACAGCATGATCTTGGCTAAGATATTATACTTTTCCTGCCTTACCTTTCTCATCTGTAAAATGGGGAGGTGGGGAGGGGTAGCCTAGCCCTCTTTACATTCTGAGGTTCTGCGATTTTATCTAGTGGGAGCTATGGAAGGAGAGAAGGGAGGAGCTAAGCCCTCTAAGTCTGCCAGGAGTATCTGCTGGGGTAGAGTTGGGCATAGGGGTGGAGTAGGGTGAAGAAGAGAGGTTTGGCCTTTCTGAAGGGAGAGAGATGAGACGGGGCAGCTTGGGATTTAATGCCTCCCTACAGAAAGAGAGCCATATATGTAAATGAATGCATACCATATGCAAATGAAGGCTTTGTTAAGGAACTGGGGCAGGCGCCTTGTGTGTCTGCTGGGCTAGCCAGGAAGGTTGGTAGGCACTGGAGGAGGGGATCTTCTGCCCCAATGGCGAGAGCAGAGCCTGGATCTTGCCCCAGAAGCCCCAGCTGCCTGGGCAGCCCTGTGGGGTGAGAGAAGCAGTGAGCTCATGGCGCAGCTGGAGGGGGGAGGGCATTGTGTGGTGAGAACTGACTGGGCCTGTGCCCTTTCCAGCTAGGGTCACTGGCTCCATTGTCTGGTCCAGGTGACACAGCTGAGCCAACTAGCACTTCTGAGCAAGACTGCCAGCTCCCCTCAAGCAAAGGGGAGGGACATGTAGTCTCAGCATCCCCCAGCCAGAAGGCTCCCCTGGCCAGGCACTGAGGAAGGAATGGCAGACATGGAGGTGGGTGAGTGGCAGGGACAGATCAAGGTTTAGCTGGAACCAAAGCCTGGTTAGGTCAGGAATCAGATGTACTCCTTTCTGCCTTCAGGCCCTCTGCTTCTAGTCCACCAGAAATGGGATGCATCTAGGTGCCAAGGCAATCCTGGGCCCGTGCCACCTTCTTGACATCCAGGTGTCTTATATCACAGCATCCCTTTCCTATTCTCAGAACAGGGTCCAAGCTGTGGACCGTCTTCCCCAGGTGTCCTTTCCTTTTGTAGGCAAGAGATCAAGAATGGTGCTTGTGGTGGCAGAGGGCATGGAATGGGGAACCAGGCATCTCCAACTTCTTCTGCCTTTCCCTACAGGAATGGGATGCTGGGCCCGGGAGGTGCTGGTCCCCGAGGGGCCCTTGTACCGCGTGACTGGAACAGCTGTCTCCATCTCCTGCAATGTGACCGGCTACGAGGGACCTGCCCAGCAGAACTTCGAGTGGTTCCTGTATAGGCCTGAGGCCCCAGATACTGCACTGGGCATTGTCAGTACCAAGGATACCCAGTTCTCCTATGCTATCTTCAAGTCCCGAGTGGTGGCGGGTGAGGTGCAGGTGCAGCGCCTACAAGGTGATGCTGTGGTGCTCAAGATTGCCCGCCTGCAGGCCCAGGATGCTGGCATTTATGAGTGCCACACCCCCTCCACTGATACCCGCTACCTGGGCAGCTACAGCGGCAAGGTGGAGCTGAGAGGTACTGGGCCCTGGGATGGGGTGGGGCCACACACCCTCTCAAGGCAGAAAGTCAAAGCCACAAGTGACCTATCTAACTGCCCCTTAGGTTTTGTAGCCAAGGAACTTGAGGCCCAAAGAGGTTAAGTGACTTGCCCAAAGTCGCCCAATAACTCAGTGACTGATAAGGGACTCAAACCCAGATTTCCTCACCCAGGCCAGTGCTTGTCTTATCATATCAAGACCCCTCCTGGGAGAAGAAGGGTCCTTAAGTTGTCCATTCCCCTTTCCATTCCCAAGAACGAGGAAGACTATTGGGTTGAATAGACTCTACTCCTGGACAGTACAGGACCCAGATCTGGCAAAGAGAGTAGAGTTAGAGAAGGAGTGAGACCATGTGACATTCTCACTAAGTTTCTTTGTGTTCTGAGAAGGAAGACAGAACCACTTTTCTCAGGATTTCAAACAGGGGTCAGTCTCGAACATAGAACCAACATGGGCTGGTTCTACGAAATTCAACAAGTATTTATTGAGTGCCTGTGCTGTGCCCAGTACTGCACTTGGCACCACTGAGTTACAGAGGAAATAATACAACATGCAATCTTTGCCCTCTGAGAGCTCACAGTCTATTTAGGGAGATAGGCTGTACACAGGAAACAGTAACAAGGGCTGCTAGCTCCCAGCCCTCCCTCACTCCAGCTGTTCTCTCCAGTTCTTCCAGATGCCCTCCAGGTGTCTGCTGCCCCCCCAGGGCCCCGAGGCCGCCAGGCCCCAACCTCACCCCCACGCCTGATGGTGCATGAGGGGCAGGAGCTGGCACTGGGCTGCCTGGCGAGGACAAGCACACAGAAGCACACACACCTGGCTGTGTCCTTTGGGCGATCGGTGCCTGAGGCACCAGTTGGGCGAGCAACTCTGCAGGAAGTGGTGGGAATCCGGTCAGACTTGGCCGTGGAGGCCGGAGCTCCCTATGCTGAGCGACTGGCTGCAGGGGAGCTTCGTCTGGGCAAGGAAGGGACCGATCGGTACCGCATGGTAGTAGGGGGTGCCCAGGCAGGGGACGCAGGCACCTACCACTGCACTGCCGCTGAGTGGATTCAGGATCCTGATGGCAGCTGGGCCCAGATCGCAGAGAAAAGGGCTGTCCTGGCCCACGTGGACGTGCAGACACTGTGTAAGTACCACTTATACATCCCACTGTGGGAGCTGGGAGGGACAGTATCCTGGTGGGCGCTGTGGCCACAGGGGGTACCAGATAGCTATCATCTGCCTCCAAGGAACTCATCTTCCACAGAGTGAGCAGCCTTGTTAGCATTTCTTCCCCCTCTGCCCTTGATGGGTTTTCTCTGCTCAGAAATTGGGTATAGAGATAGGAGGCCCATACCTGAGGGGTGAGATTCAAGCCCCCAAGGAGAAAGATGATCATACCCAGTGAGGGGCAGACAGGAGGTTTTGAAGTTGCTGCTGTCAAGGAGGAAACAGAAAATTGGGAATCAGGTGCCTCTGTGTCCCCTCCTGCCTCCATGACACCTCTTCCCCTTCCTGTGTTTCAGCCAGCCAGCTGGCAGTAACAGTGGGGCCTGGTGAACGTCGGATCGGCCCAGGGGAGCCCTTGGAACTGCTGTGCAATGTGTCAGGGGCACTTCCCCCAGCAGGCCGTCATGCTGCATACTCTGTAGGTTGGGAGATGGCACCTGCGGGGGCACCTGGGCCTGGCCGCCTGGTAGCCCAGCTGGACACAGAGGGTGTGGGCAGCCTGGGCCCTGGCTATGAGGGCCGACACATTGCCATGGAGAAGGTGGCATCCAGAACATACCGGCTACGGCTAGAGGCTGCCAGGCCTGGTGATGCGGGCACCTACCGCTGCCTCGCCAAAGCCTATGTTCGGGGGTCTGGGACCCGGCTTCGTGAAGCAGCCAGTGCCCGTTCCCGGCCTCTCCCTGTGCACGTGCGGGAGGAAGGTGAGAGGGGGCTGGGCCCTGGACAGGGTTCGAGGATTGTCAACCCCTTTTCCTTCTGTTTCCATGCCCCCCTCCCTCTCCATCAGCTGCTTGCATGCCACAGCCTCACGCTCCTCTTCTCCCAATATTGTGGGAATACCCTGAGTTTCCTGCGGCGGTGCTTGGCAGCAGCTCTAACCCCATGCTCCCTGGCCCTGCACCCTCTGACCCCATGTCCTTTGTTCTGCAGGCGTGGTGCTGGAGGCTGTGGCGTGGCTAGCAGGAGGCACAGTGTACCGGGGGGAGACTGCCTCCCTGCTGTGCAACATCTCTGTGCGGGGTGGCCCCCCAGGACTGCGGCTGGCCGCCAGCTGGTGGGTGGAGCGACCAGAGGACGGAGAGCTCAGCTCTGTCCCTGCCCAGCTGGTGGGTGGCGTGGGCCAGGATGGTGTGGCAGAGCTGGGAGTCCGGCCTGGAGGAGGCCCCGTCAGCGTAGAGCTGGTGGGGCCCCGAAGCCATCGGCTGAGACTGCACAGCTTGGGGCCCGAGGATGAAGGCGTGTACCACTGCGCCCCCAGCGCCTGGGTGCAGCATGCCGACTACAGCTGGTACCAGGCGGGCAGTGCCCGCTCAGGGCCTGTTACAGTCTACCCCTACATGCATGGTAAGTGACACCCCCTCTACCCTCTTCACTCTGCCTTCCTCCCGGCCCCTGCTGCTGGCCTTCCCTTCCCATCTTCTCACCCTCCTGCTACTCTCTCTCTCCTCCACATCCTGTCACATGAAGTCTCAAAAAATCCAACTTCCAGCCCTGCAGTGCCCACCTGCATGGGGTCCTCTGTGGTTGATGCTGACTTGCATGCTGAGGGGGCAGGCTGTGGGCAGGGATAGGGGTGCCTGTGAATGGAGAAGGTGGGTTCAGAGAACTTGATGGGGAAAGTGTAGAGGCAAGTGTGATGGGTGGAGGATGATGGCATCCTCTCTGAACAGTCATACTCTCTCCCCCAGCCCTGGACACCCTGTTTGTGCCTCTGCTGGTGGGTACAGGGGTGGCCCTAGTCACTGGTGCCACTGTCCTTGGTACCATCACTTGCTGCTTCATGAAGAGGCTTCGAAAACGGTGATCTCTTACTCCCCAGGTGAGGGAAAAGAACCCCCCAACCTTGTTTTCACTGGGCTTCCCACCACCAAGTCCTGAACCAAGCTGCTCCCTCCCAGGCCCCACCTGGAGGAGGAGTAGGCAGCTCAGATCCACAGGGCCCTGCTAAGGGGTGGAGGCCACGAGGGAGCCCCACGCAGGGCTCTCTGTCCTTAGCTCACGCTGGGCGCCCTTTTCAGGTCTTGCAGGTGTTGACTGTCTTCCGGCCCAGCTCCAAGCCCTCCTCTGGTTGCCTGGACACCCTCTCCCTCTGTCCACTCTTCCTTTAATTTATTTGACTTCCCACTACCCAGAATGGGAGACATGCGTCCCCTTCCCCACTCCTTCCCTCCCAAGCCCCTCCCTCTGGCCTTCTGTTCTTGATCTCATAGGGATCCTATAGAGAGGCCATTCCCCATCCTGGAATTAGTTTTTCTAAAATGTGAATAAACTGGTTTTATAAAAAGCAGGCTTGGCTGTGTCTTCCCTACCATGAGACTGTAAAAGGCTCAGGGTGCACAGTAGGGAGGTGGTTGGGGGTTGACAACCTATTCTGGACGACCCAGGCCTCTCTTCCCACCACAAACACCATCTGGCCTCCGCGGGCCATGCCACCTACCCCAGGAGGGGACACCTGGGTTCCATCTGCTGCCTGAACTGTCAGGGCTGAGACAACTCCTGACTGGACTCCTACTTGGGGAGGGAAGCATAGAAAAGGAGGGTAGGTTCCAGCTGCATGTGGTCCCCCCTCCCCAGCTTCTCCCATGTTAAAGGGCATGGGCCTCCAGGGGCAGTGCCTTTTCTGAGCTCCCCAGACTTTCCCCCACTCTTCTTATTCTCCTGGTCAGGCTAGTCTGGGACCTGAGTCCTCCCACTAGGCCCTGGGGCTGCAATTCTTGTTCCTTCTGACTGATAGCAGCAGAATAGAAGCCTCAGAACACAACTGATACTCAGGCTGGGACACCAGGCAGTCAGGGGAGGGCCCGTGTGTCCACAGAGCCATTGTACCCTCATGTACTTGCTGTACCTGCATACACCCACTACCCGCATACACCCACTACACCCGCATATACCTACTACACCCGCATATACGTGCTACACCCGCATATACCTGCTTCACCTGCCTATACCCACCCTGGGATCTCCTCCCTCCCATCCTTCAGCTTCCCCCCTCCTCCAGTGCCCCAGGAGTTTCATGAATTTTCTTGCCTAAGGATTCTCTGATCCTAAAATTCTTACCTGCATGGCACAAAATTCTTACCTGCACGGCACCTTAAGAGGCATCCAGTAGGCCTCCTTCAGTTGTTATTTAAACATTTATTGAGCATTACGAGTTTGCTAAGTGTCATTTTTACAGATGAGGAAACTGAGGCCCAGATATGCGATTTGCCCAGAGTCATAGAGCTAATTAGCAAGTGTCAGGAGTAGGACCTAGGTCTCCTGACTTGTTGCACTGTACAGTGGTGCCCTGAGTGGTGACAGTGGCGAGGAGAGGTGTGGCAGGGTCCCAGTGACTTCAGCAGGCAGGAGGGGCCTTTCCAGCCTCAGTTTCTCTGCTTGTTCAGTTGCAAAGGGTTGGCTCCTGTGTGAGTGCGTGTGTGTGGATACCAAGTAGCCCATCCCCTCTTGTCCAGACTCCCCTGTTTTTCTGAAACCCAAATGAATCCCCATTCCACACCCCAACATCTGTTCTTAGGGGACCAGCCAATACCAGCATTCAGGAATCTCATCTTTGATGACAGGACCCCCTGGTGGCCCTGTGACCTGAGGCAAAGATATCCGTGCTTTGACTGAAAGGAAGGGACTGGGACTTGGGTCCTCTCTGAGTGAACCCAAACTGTCTGGGCTCCTTCCATGGCCCCCTTTCTTGCTTCCAGAGGACCCATAGGACCCTGGCTGTGCCCATAGGACCCTGCTGTGCCCATAGGGCCCTGGCTGTGCCCATAGGACCCTGGCTGTGCCCATAGGACCCTAGCTGTCCAGCCTGGAACAGAGAAGACGAGTGCTTTCCCCAGGGGGCTTATGAAAGGGCAGGAGTGGGATGTGGCCAGGGCCAAGGGAGAAGGTTCTTGCTGGGCCAGTGCTGCTATGTGGGAGACAGGCACTGTCCCAAGGCAGGCTCTCCTGGGCCTACGCTTTTCTCCAGGCCAGCTTCAGGTCCCTTGCACCCCTCTGCCCCTCTCAACTTGCCATTGTTCTTCCCCACCATCCAGGAAGCTGCCGCTGGTGACTGGGATGTGATCAGGAAGCAGGTGGAGGTGGGGTGAGAATATGTGTCTTTGGGACCCCATGGCCCAGTTGGGCTGACAGCAGGCTGCAGACACATCCAGATGTTCTGACTCCTATCACTTCTCTCAGATTTTCTCCTACATTCAATCCTGCCTCCAGTCCTACAAGGGGTTCTGTCCTTTGCCCCTAAAACCCTTCCTGTTCCACCTCCCCCTGGCCTCCCCAGGAACCCCCTCACGTCCTTCTGATGACTTCATCTCTCTGTCGGGCCTGCTCAGCTTCCAGACACCCCCTCCACTTGTCACTGCCCTGTTTCCACTGATGGTTGAGTTCCTGGGCCCAAAGTTAAACTCTTCAGCCTGGGCTTCGGGTCCCTTTCCCACACACAAAGCCCCGCCCTTCACATTTCTCTGTCTGCTCCTGTGAGGATCCTCAGCTTCTTAGCTTCTCTCATCTTCCTCTCAGCTACTCCTCAGTTTCTATACCCCATGTCCTGATATGACTTACAAGTCTGTGCTTAGAGCACAGGTTCTCAAAGTGTGGTCCCCAGTCCAGCAGCAACAGCATGACCTGGGGACTTCTTAGGAGTGCACATTTTTTTCTGACCCACCTCTTGGGTCAGAAACCCTTGGAGTGGAGCCCAAAAATCTGTCTTTTAACAAGCCCTCCAGGTGATTCTAATGTACACTGAAGATTTCTAACTCCTGACTTAAATATTCCTTATGGCTTACACTGGCCCCAGCCTTCTGATCACCCACACTCCCCCACCCTCCGCGGGACTGCGCAAGTTGTCAGTTTGAATCATCCCTTGTTCAGTCGCCACAGGTCGATTTCTCTGTTTTCCCAGGTGCCCCTTATTTTGAGGACAGGAACCAGGTTTTTGAATGTCCACTCCACATGGCACCCAATCAGTGATGTGAATGACTGTGCCCCAAGGACACACTGCTTTTCTAGGGGCTCCCTGTGTCCCAGCTCTAGTGAACCCACTTTCTAGATCTCTCTCTGTCCCTTCCTCCTCAGAAGCTCTCTCCCTCTTCCTGCCTGTGCCTGATACCTGTAAGATCTCACTCCACTGTAAGAAAATAGCCATTGCTGGTTGTCCTTTCCCAGGCCCAGGCCCTTCTCCAGGCCCCAGCTCAGGCACCTCCCTGCTCTGCCTGCTTCCCTGAACTTGCAGACTAAGGTCATTCACACCTTGCTGAGCCCCCTTGCACCCCTTCATCCTGGTGAGGGTGGAGCTAGGAGGGCACCCTCCTCATGTGTCCATCTTGGTGCGGCTCCTTTCTCCTTTGCTTCAGCTTGGCCTACCGTGTCATTAGACAGTTGTGCCATATGTGGGGAGGCTGGCAGAAGAGGTGAGTGGGGACTGCAATCCATCCTACACTCTGCTCCCCAAGCCATGCACCCTGGTTTGGGGCTGTATCTGTCTGGAGGAAAAGGGTTCCTTTTTAGAATTTGCACAGAGGTGTTCTACAGGTTAGTGGCAGCCCTGAGTGAACCAATTGTCTGTTGGTCCATTTATGTATCTGTCAGCTGTCTTTATCTGCCACCATCTTCCCATCCAACCCCCAAAAGTCCATCCTTCTGTCCGTCCATCCACTCATGAACAAATGTGAAGGTCAAACACAGACTGGCATGTTCACCTGGCCGCACCCTCCATTTCCCTGAAATCAGGACCCCTCCCTTCCATACTGGATTCTAGACTTGAGATTCCGGGGGATGGGGACTTTCCAACGTTAGCACATTTCCAGGGGCTTTGCCTACCTTCTCCTCCTCCTCCTCCTCCTCCTCCTCCTCCTCCGATATGCAGTTCCCTATGTACCTGTGTCTGGGCCCCGGTCTGCCACAGGGGTCCGGAGAAAGCTGGTCACACCTTGGACTCACTTTCTGGGGGGGGCAGGCAGCCATTCTGCTCTTTGTCGGCCCCAGCTTCCCCACCTGCCCCCTCCCCCGCCCCCTCCTCCTCCACCTTCTCATCCAGCCGGCTGGGGATGGACCAGTAGAGATGGGCATCAAGGCGGGCCGCAGCCTCTGCCAGCTCTCGAGCACTGCATGAAGGTGTGGGCACCTCAAAAGTCTCGTGAAAGCTGGCATAGTCCACCTCGTAGAAGCCGTCCTCCAGAGTCAGCACTGACGTGAAGCGGTGGCCCCACAGCACCTCGTCTACCAGGTAGGAGCTCCGAGCTTGGCATGTCATTCCTGAGAGGAGGGGCATGAGTCAGGGGAGATCTCAGCTCCAGGCTTCCCTCTCCTCTTCTCATTCCACAACCCTACTCCCAGCATCCTCCCTTCTATTCCTTCCTAAGGGCTCCCACCTCCCTTTGGTCCAGTCCATTTTCTCCCCCGCCCTAGCTCCTGTTCTTACCCAGCTCCCTCACCTCTTCTCCATTTGCCCCAATTCCTCTTCATCTCCAGCTCTTTTTTCCCCTCCTGTCATTTGGTGATGCCAGCCAAAAAAAGCTTAACCTTGAAACTAACCTTGGGGATCATCTAGTCCAACTTCTCACTCCACATAGGGCTCCCCAAAGGAGCATTTCTAACAATGGGCATCTGGCTTGTGCTTGATTACCTCCCAGGACTGATAGCTCACCACTTCATAAAGGACCCACTCCTTTGTATGATAGCTCTACTAGGTGGGTTGTTCTTTATACAGAGCTAAAACCTGTCCCCTGGGATTTCCAACCCTTAGCGTCATTCCTCTCCCACTTCACAGTCCTTTGAGTATCTGAAAACAGGAGTCTCAGATTCCCTCATGTTTTCTCTTCTTGACTTAACATCCCTGGCTTCCTCCACGATTCCTCATTTGACCTGGTTTTCCAAAATTCTACTTGTTTGATTACAAGCCAGAATGGCCAGGGAGGGCCCTTTAAGCATTTTGAGTGTAGTAAATTTTCCAACTGTGGCCTGCTCCGCGCATAAGAGAAGGTGCACCATCTCTCTCTTCTGGCCATGACGCTTTCACTAATAGGGCCCAGGATAACATTACATAATCATTTTGGAGGCTGCATCACATTGCTACGACATCAAGCCTGTAGCCAACTAAAACTCCCAGTTCTTTTTTTCACCAGTGCTCTTCCATGCTGTGCTTACATAAGTGATTTTTTTAAAGCCTAAATGTAGAATTTTATATTTATTCCTTTTAAATGTCATCTTGCTGGGGTTTGGCTCATTATTCTTGCTTTTCAAAAGCGTTTTGAATCCTGACTGTCTCACCCAAAATATTACCATCCTTTCCAGCTTTATCTCTCTAGAAAAACAGACAGATTCCTATCTTTATCTCCTCTGTCCTGGTCCTCCCTGCCCGGGGCCTGTGTCTTATCTACCTGTTGGACTGGTGCACCCCTCAGGGCAGGTCATTCTCCTTTCTGTCACAGGGTCTTGCCCCCAACCCGTATCCATCTCGGAACAAGGGGAAACAGAAGAGTGAACATTAGCTAACCGGACAGTGGCTGTCAGCTCGGAAAGCCTGGCCCTGAGACATTGGTATTTCTCAGTGGAGTTGGGATAGAAAATATCCAGTGGGAGAGAGAAGAAAGAGGCATAAGGGACACTGGGCAGAGAAGGGCTTCGAGGAGGAGAGGGCAGGGCTGGGGGTACAAAGAGAAAAGAGGGCCAGGCAGGAATTTCACTGGAGGGTGAGGGGCCTGCCTGAGATACTGGCAAAAAAGGAGTGACAGCTGGAGAGAGAGAGAGGAAAGGGAACGGGGTGAGTGGGGGAAGGGGAAAGAGTCGGGGTTAAGCAGGAATGGGAACAGTGATGGGGAGGTGGGGTTGGGGTGTGAAGCGGAAGCTCAGCGAAAAGGGGCCAGGGAAAGGATCTGAAGGCACCAGCTTGTCACCGAAGCCGGCAGGGAGCATCAGCAACTCTGGCGTCAGAAGCAGGGACTGCCGCGCCCCCTAGTGGGCCTTTGGTCCTCCACCCGCAGTTTCCTCATCCTCATCCATCCTCTAGATCTCAAGTCCTAAGTAAACTCCTTTGCGACTCCTGTAACACTGGTCTTTTCCCACCTGCTTCCAAAGCCTTCACTGTGTAGGTCTGGGTTGGACTTATTGACATCACAGATGAGTTGCCAGTTCCTTTTGGAAAAGGGCTAGAAATGGTAACATCATCTATATCCCTTGTCAGTGGAAATGGATGAATTGGGAAACCGAGGCAGAAGTGAGACCAGGTATTAAGCTCCCCTCAAGATCCAGCCTAGAAATAACTCAGGCAATGGAAAACCTTCACCGTCAAACTCCAGGGGCCTGAACCTGGCTGCAGTTAGAAAACCCCTGAACCTAACCCCTCCTTCCAACTCGGGACCACTAAACATTGAAGCCACATTGCCTGTGTCCAATCCAGGCATGGCCACTTATTGGCTTAGGAAAGTGGACAATTTCCTTAACTTCTCATTGGAGCAATCTCGTCTCTGAAAATTGAGCACAATAACAAGAAACTACCTTTAATCTTGTTAGGATTAAATCGACTCAGAGTTGGAAAGTGCTTTGGAACTGTGCATGACACAGGGTGAGTACTGGGTGAGCACTAGCTATTATTACTCTCCCTATTCCAAGTGACACATTCCTCTGGGCCCAGGGCCCCACGCCAGTGCCATTTCGAAGAATTCCTCCAAGCTTTCTCTTGGCCTTCTGCAGCGTTGCTCGGTTCCACCTCCACCCCCGACCCCTGTCTCACCTCACTCTGTCCTCCTCCACCAGCCCCTCCACCCATCCTCCCCACCTCCCCTGGCCCCTCGTCTTGCCCCTGCCTTCCTGGGCCCTGCCCACCCTTTGCCAGCCCCGCTCCCCTCCCCAGGCCCGCTCGCACCCGTGGCTTCCACCATGCCCTCGAGGATGACAACGATCTCGAAGTCGTCCCTCTCGAGGGCACGGCGCGACGCCTCCCAGAAGGGGCTGGCAGCGTCGATTTCGTGGCTGATAACCAGCGGCGAGACGAGGAAGAGGCGGTCGTCTCCCGTGTCGAAGCCCACGCTGAGGTCGGTCTGGTGCAGCGGGATAAACTCGCCCTCCAGCGTCTGGCGCGAGCGGATGAGCTTGGCGCGGATGGAGGCCTCCACTATGTGTGAGGAGCGCAAGTCGCCCACGCGGAACATGAGGCAGAGGCGCCCATCGCGTAGCGACACCACGGCGTGCGAGGAGAAGACGAGCGTGGCGGCGCGCTTGTTGGGCTGAGAGATCTTGACGAACATGCAGCCCACCATGAAGGCGTTCACCATGGAGCCCAGGATGGCCTGCAGCAGCAGCAGCACGATGCCCTCGGGGCACTGGTCGGTGATGACGCGGTGCCCGTAGCCGATGGTGGTCTCGGTCTCGATGGAGAAGAGGAAGGCGGCCACAAAGCCGTTGAGGTTGTTGACGCACGGCGTCCACGCGGTGTCCTCCAGGTGCTCCAGGTCGCCGCGGCCGTAGGCGATCAGCCACCAGATGGCGCCGAAGAAGAGCCAGGTGAGCGCGTAGGCCAGCACGAAGAACAACAGGCTGAGGCGCCACTGCAGGTCCACCAGCGTGGTGAACAGGTCGGTCAGGTAGCGGTATGTCTCGCGCACGTTGCCCTGCTGCACGTTGCACCTACCATCCTTCTCCACGTAGCGCTGGCGGCCGCGGCGCCGCGGCGGCTCCTCCGGCCCGGGCGAGAAGGCAGCGTTCTCCTGCGCCATGGCGGCCGCGTCAGGGCGAGCGCTGCGGGCGCCTGGAGTGCGGCGGGGGCCCGAGCTGCCGCCACCCGCCGCGCGTTGCTGGGCGCCTCGGCGGCGTCGGGGATCCTGGAGGGGCTTAATAAAGGTTTGCCGAATGAGTGGCCCCTCGGGAGATGGGGAGACACGGGACATCAGGGCCAGCACCGAGCCCTGAGGGCCCTGGGTGAGTCCCTTCGTGTTTCCCAGCCTCTATTTCTGGGAATAACACATTCAGCCCTAACTGCCCCCCAGGCTCAGAAAGTGGTGAGGGTCAAATGGAATAATGTACCTGAACTGGATAGAACTGTAGAAGTTCCACGATGATTTTCATGGGAAAGAGGTACCAGGGATCTTGGTGCCATCACCTCCAGCTGGGGTGAGCAGCACCTCTGGGGCAGTCCCGGGGCCAAAGACCCAGGCCCAGATCCCCCTAGTGACTTCCTGAAATCACTAGACTGGAGGCTTTTTGGGGTAGGGGGCAGGCTGGTAATGGAGCTCTCCCTGCCCTAAGGACTTCCACCATCTCTTCCCCAGCTGTAGCCAGTGCAACCACCAATGGCTCTCCTCGCAGGCTGTTTTGAAGTTCAACCCCAAGACTGATACACAGTCTTTCTCATTCTTCCCTCCTTGGACCTCACTCACTCCACTCCACTCCCTCCCCTCAACACGCTTACAAAGGAGAAAAAAATGAAAGCCGTGGAAAGTCAGTGGAAACCCTCCAGTGCACAAGGGTGGAACATTAGGAAATTCCCACTAGCAATCCTCCCTGAGACCTACCCCCGATCACTGCTGCTCTTGGGCCAGCCCCATTTCCCTAGTGGAGACAGCTTGCAAATGGGGAGGGGAACTGGAAGATCCCAACACAGAGGCCATGGAAAGGAAGCCCAGAGTTACCAAGAGTTAGGCTCATATCCCTCTGGGATCCTATTCTTCATGAGAGACATGGAATCAGATCAAGTGAAGCACCAAGCACCCACATTTATTTCCCCACTCCCTCTGGTTATATTTTCCCCCAGCCTCTTACTTCCCATGGACTATCCTAACACCAGCCCCGCCCCCACCTGCCATATGCCCCAAAGCCCACATTCCAAGTGAGGCCCACCTGCTTTTGCTTCACATGCTTCCCTCTGAGGAGTTCTCTGAGCTGCAATCTGCTCTGAGAGACGTCCAAAGTCCTTCCCCAAAGCACCCAGGGTCCTCTGGGAGATATGGACCATACAGGGAAAGGTTTAGAATAAGGATTTGGGACTCTTCTACCTTCCCTTCTCTTTCCTGGGAATGATCCTCTCCTCCCACTCCACGGAAACGTGGGCTGGCTAGTGGGTGGGGGATGGAGGAGTGTGCCATAGGAACCACAGATGGCCTGGATGGTTGACCAGGTCCTGGGGAGAAACTGCCTGGGTATGTGACTGTAAACCTAGCACTCCAGCATTTTATGTTCTGGGGTGAGGTGCTGTGCAGTCAGCCCTCTGGAGAGGGTATGTGTGTGTGTGTGTGTGTGTTGGGGTAGAGAGGGCAGGAAGAGAAATCAAAATGAAATGGCTTTGAGCTTAGGGGCACCCCCTGCATTTATTGTCCATGGAGTCAGGGGACACAGGGTCCAAGAGCCCCATGGCAATGGAAGATTAGGGTCTCCCCTGCCCCCGACAATGAGCTTCCTTTTCCTTCCCTGAAGCTCAGATGTCCTCAGGAAGAGTAAGCATTGACTGGCTCAGAGACCCCAGGTCATGCAGAAAACGACCCTGCTCTCATCATCCTAGCTTTAGTTCCAGGTAGGCTTCCAGATGTTCTCTCAGGGTCATAAGTAATCTGACCCCCAGTCGGCCTGCTTAGACAGATGTTTGCCCAGGGATGGGGAACGAACCCCAATGTCTGATCACCCCCAGAACTCTCTCACTCTCCATTGCCCCAGGGATCTAGGCAAACCTTATTTTGAATGTGTCCCAAATCCTGTCTTCCTGAGTGGGGGACTGCATTTTTCTCAGGGGAAGGGAAAGTGTGAAATTGTTACCTCTATCCCAAGATCAAGGACTTGATTTCTCCATCTTCCCTCCAAGAATTTCAGTTCCTCCAACCTACTCCTCATTTCTTGTGCATGCTATGACCCCTTTGCAGACGATCGCAGTACCACTTTTCCTGGGCCCCTCTTCCTCCCTCTAGAGATCTGGGGAGTAAGGGGGCTCATTTTTTGGAAGGAGAGACCTGGTGTAAACTCCCCCAAGAACCAGCTCCTCCCAAACCCCCACTTGCCTTGGAAATAGGGGCCCAAACCCCAAGTCCCCCGCAACTCAACTCACAGCACGTGGAGAGGAGAGTAGCCGGCAGCAGAGACCCCTGGGGGGTGGCGTCCATGCCCCTGACACCGCCCCCCCCACGGGCCCCCTGAAGGGTGGGAGCCGCAGACACCGCTGTTTCTCCTAAATGTAGCGGCGGCTCTGACTAGGACTTGCTATCTGTGTCATCCCTACTTCCCAGGCTCCCCTGCTCCTCTCTCGTTTCCACGGCAACCAGTCTGGCGACAGCTCCAGAGCATCCCCCTCCCCTCCCCAGTCCTGGGTACCACTAGGGGTTGATCCAAACCACACGCCATAGCTATTTTTAGCCTAAGTCCCTCCTTCTGGACAACTCAGAGCTTGGCTCCTCACCCCCTCATAGGAAAAAAAAAAGAAGAAGAAAGAAAAACAAAGCTGGCACACTGGCTCTTTCCTAAGAAGCTCCTTGCTCGGGGAAAATACAAGCCTTCATGTATTTGAGAATAAGGTGTTAGGTTCCCTGGGGTTTCAGAGGGCCATCTGGGAACTGGCAGCTCACCACCTTCAACATGGGTCTCGTGTGCAGGTGCTGCTCTCAGCTCAGGCCGACCATCACGGTCTCTAGTTCTGGAGAGGCCATGGATCCAGAAGGCAGTAGCTAGAAGGAAAATAGATCTACTAAAGGAAGGAAGGCAGGGTCAGGGGTTCTAATTATTGTCACTGATTTGCACTGTGACCATAGGAGTCACTTCACTTCCCTGAGCCACAGTTATTCCATCTATACCAGGGTGTGGACAAGTGCAAATATCCCCTTTCTGCCTGCTTCACAGGGTGTGCAGATCAAATGAAAAACAAACAAACAAAAAACACCCAAAACAACAACAACAACAACAAAAACACGAAGGCTTTGAAATGTATTTTGTTCATAGCAAAAACCCTGGAAACAACCCAAATGTCCACCAGAGAGAAAAGCCTAGGTTAGAGCTTACTAAGTATTCACTCAGCAAACCTCTATGGAGCCCAAGTGCCAGGCAGTGTGTTAGATGGGTGGTTACAGAATGAGTAAGTCCCTGCCCACAAGGAGCTCATTAACCCATGAGGGAGAAAGACACACAAACACACGGTGGCTACTGCTACTAATTCATTGAACATCGGATATGAACGAGACACATGCCTCATTTCATACCCATGGCAACTCTATCAGATAGGTATTATTGTTCCCAGTTATAGATGAGGAAACTAAAACTGAGACATGTTAAGTGATTTATCAAATGTCACAGAGTTGGACAGAGATAGGAGTCAAACTCCCACATCTGTATCACATCATGCTTTTTGAATTTTTTTTTTTTTAAAAAAGACTTCTTAGGCCGGGCACGGTGGCTCACGCCTGTAATCCCAGCACTTTGGGAGGCCGAGGTGGGCGGATCATGAGGTCAGGAGATCAAGACCATCCTAGCTAACATGGTGAAACCCCATCTCTACTAAAAATACAAAAATTAGCCGGGTGTGGTGGCGGGTGCTTGTAGTCCCAGCTACGCGGGAGGCTGAGGCAGGAGAATGGCAGGAACCCGGGAGGCGGAGCTTGCAGTGAGCCAAGATAGCACCACTGCACTCCAGCCTGGGCGACAAGGCAAGATTCAGAGCAAAATTGACAGGAAAGTTATAGAGAGTCTCCGTATGCCCCCGTCGCCACACATGCACAGCCTCTCCCACTGTCAACATCCTCCACCAGAGTGGCATATTGCTTACATGTGATGAAACTACATTGACATCAAAATCACCCATAGTCCATAGTCAACGTTAGGGTTCACTCTTGGTGTTGTACATTCTGTGGGTTTGGACAAATGTACAATGATGTGTATCCACCATTATAGTCTCATTGCTGTAAAAGTTCTCTACGCTCTGCCTAGTCAATCCCCCTTCCCTAACCCCTGGCAACAACTGCTCTTTTTCCTGTTTCCATAATTTTCCTTCTCTGGAATGTCATATAGTTGGAATTGTACAATACGTAGCCATTTCAAATTGGCTTCTTTCACTTAATAATGTAAATTTAAGGTTCCTCCATGTCTTTTCAGGGCTTTGTAGTTCTTTTTGGCACGGAATAATATTCCATTTCAGGATGGCCGTGGTTTATTTATCCATTTACCTACTGAAGGACATCTTGGTTGCTTTCAAGATTTGGCCATGATGAATAAAGCTGCTATAAACATCCATTAGCGGATTTTCATCTCCTTTGGGTAGATACCAAGGAGCATGATTCCTGGATCATATGGTAAGAGTATGTTTAGTTTCTTAAGAAACTGCCACACTTCCTTCCAAAGTGGCTGTACCATTTTGCATTCCCATCAGCCACAAATTCCTGTTCCTGATGCTCCACATTCCTGCCGGCATTTGGTGGTGTCAGCCTCAGCCTAGTGTTCTCTTCACAAAGTTACACTGCCTCAGTAATGTAATATCTGTGGCATATTAACATCATGGGTTACTGTAAAGCCATAATAATTGCTGTGTTTAAATATGTGAATGTGTATATAACACAGTTACATAAAAAAGCAGAACCTAAAATTATTCTTATAAATTGATCACGACTATATTGAAATAGCTTCAGGAACACTGATAAAGATCATAACAAAATTTGTAGAAATAGAAATATCTTATTGTTTATTTTTCCCCAGGGAAATAATGAAGAGAAGAAAGTGGTTTACAAATGCAAAGTGGTTTTGTTATTGTTATCAGTGTTATTATATCCCAGATATGGATCTATTCTTATCCAGATCCTATAAATTTGGGTCAAGAAAATACAAGCTAGAGGAGCAGGAAGACATAGAGATGGACATGGAGGGCTAGAAGCTCCTGGAATGACCTGGTAAGGCGGGAAATTCTGTACTGGATAATATAAGCTCGGGAGGCAATGACTTGGGTTCAAATCCCACCTCTGTCTACTACTAGCTGGGTGAACCAATTACTTAACCTCGTTAAACCTCAGATTTTTCATCTAGAAAAAGAACCACCATATTACTCATCTCTTAGGGGGTTGTCCTGAAGACTACATAAGGCAATGCCTGACACATTGTTAGTACTCAGTAAATGCTAGCTACTATCTTCCTCTTCCTCCTCCTCCTCATTGTCTTCTTCATGGTCATCATCATGGTCACCATCATCACCATCATCTCAGGGATGTCCTAAAAGCCTCACCCTGCCTGTGCCACCTTCCTCTGTTCTGGCACCACCCTGTGAGGCCTGCAGGGGGCACCCCCGGTATACTGCCCTCTCCTCAGCTCTCTTGCTGGTGATTCTTGTTGTTCCAAGTGGAAATATCGAGTTTTCAACCTGAGATTGGCATCAAGAGTACTGTTAAAGCCCCAGTCAACATCCCCGTCTCCTGGGCCTGGTCCTGTCACCCGAGCTTTGAGACTGCTAGTCTGCCCTTCTCTGTCCTGCCAAGCAGCTGCTCACGTTGGTTCCACTGTGCCAGGAGCTCAGAAAGAAGAAACCAAACTCCTGGGCAAGAACACATTTGCATAGAGCTGGCCCCATTTGCTGGAGGGGGCATCACTGGCAGGGCTCTCCACGAGGCAATTTCAGCCAACCTCTCGCGTCAGTCCAGGTGCCCCTGAACCTAGCCTTGCTGACAAGGAAGAAGACCACCACTCCCTCACCTGATTCACTCATCGTGCATGTCCTAGACTTTACCTGTTATCTAACCTCAGTTCCTTATTTATCACTGAGCTCGAACTGAGGCAGCAGAAAAAAAGTTTTCCTAGGCACCAGGACACAAAACCATAGACAAGATTCTAGCTTTTGGCCTGGCACAGTGGCTCACACCTGTAATCCCAGCACTCTGGGAGGCTGAGGCATGCGGATCACTTGAACCCAGGAGATGGAGATCAGTCTGGGCAACATGGCGAAACCCTGTCTCTACAAAAAATACAAAATTAGATGGGTGTAGTGGTATGTGCATGTGGTCCCAGCCACCCTGGAGGTTGAGGCAGGAGGATCGCCTGAGCCTGGGAGCTCAAGGCTGCAGTGAGCCATGATTGTGCCACTGCACTCCAGCCTGGACAACAGAATGAGACCCTTTCTGGAAAAAAAAAAAAAAAAAAAGGAACTGTGGTGCAAAATAGAAAAAGAGCTTAGAAAGAGCCTACTGAGGCATGTCGCTTGGAGAACAGGGAACAGGTGATACTTTTGGGAGAAAATAAAAGTTTCACTTCCTCCAGCAGACACAACTCTGAGCCGGGTGCAGGAATTGGCAAGCTGAATGCAGTTCAGTCCTCAACTTGCCCCATCAGCAGGTGCCTTTGTGGCAGCCCTGAGATCAGCCAATCTGGGGAGGCTTCCCTGGGCAAGATCATGAGACATCTTGTGCAAAATCAGGCAAGGGGAAGAGGAAGCATGATGGGGAAGACAGGAGACAGTTGAGGATATGAGTGTAGTGGATCAGGGAGGCCAATCTTGTTGATTATAAAAATGTGTATAAATTCAAGGGGAATGGGGTTCTAGAAAACTCAGAGCAAAGATATGGTTGAAGGAGTAGATGTGGCAAATGACTGAAGCTGAAGATTAGAGTGAAATGGGGAGAAGCAGAGCACAGCTCCAGGACAGGTGCAGCCCCGGCTGGGTTCTTGAGGCTGAGGAGCTTGCTACCTTTCTGGCTACTTTCAGCAGAGCAGGAGGATCAGAAGCCTTCTCACATAGAGTTCTATCTTGCTTTATAGGACTGGGTAGAGACAGCCTAAGATTTAAAAGTTATTTGACAGTTAGAGGTGGTACAGGATTACCACCTTACTTTACAGGTAGGAATAGGTCCCAAGAAAACAGTCAGGACTAAGACTCAGGCCACCCGACTCGAGGTTCCTCGTATTTCTTTATTCCCAGTTGCCTCCCTCCTATCACAGTGCATTGGATGTTAATGGAATTTCTATCAATTGGACCCAACTGAAAAGGTACTAGAAGTCCCTAGTTAAATAAATTCATTTTTTTCTTTTTTCCTTTTTTTTTTTCTTTTTGAGACAGAGTTCCCCTCTGTCATCAGGCTGGAGTGCAGTGGCGCAATCTCAGCTCACTGTAACCTCCACTGCCTGGATTTAAGTGATTCTCTTGCCTCACCCTCCTGAGTAGCTGAGATTACAGGCACACACCCCCATGCCTGGCTATTTTTTTTTTTTTTTTTTTTGTATTTTCAGTAGAGATGGGGTTTCACCATGTTGGCCAGGCAGATCTTGAACTCCTGATTTTAGGTGATCCACCCACCTTGGCCTCCCAAAGTGCTGGGATTACAGGTATGAGCCACGGTGCCTGGCCATTTTTTTCTTTTTTAAAAGAAAGAATTCTTTAGTAGGTAACTAAGTGTTCCCCAACTTATGCCTTATAAATGTGGGTTTGTGTATATTGCATTTATTTAAAGGGGGTGATCTACTGACGTAATGATTCATTAGTGACTAGGGGAATATAGCTCAGTCCTTCTCTTGGATTTCTCCTCTGCAGCCTGAGTCATTCAGCTACGAGTTGCTCCACTACTAATGGAATTTGTTCAGCACTGTGGGATGTGAGCACTAAAATGCCACTTGGAATTCTGAATCCGGTGGTGAGCCATGTCAGTCTCTGTTCTTTCCAGACTTGTTAAATACTGACTATTCTGAGTCTCTATCATGCCTCCCA